GTCATTTTAGTGGTATGCTTTCATTGCGTTTGGCTGGCGAATTTGTTTTGTTTGGTTGTTGTGCTGTTTAATTTATTTATTATTTCCATACGTACATTTATTAAAGGTTATTAATAATATTCATATTTGATTTATCGCTTCATCTCATTCCACTCCATTCACTTTCAATATCGTTGAGTTATTAAAATTCCTTCTTCTACTTGTTACGACCATTTATATAATTATTAACCTCAAAAATATAGGTTTTTGAGAAAAAGAAATTTAGCAACGAGGGATTTGGTATCATAAAAGGGAGAAATAAGAAGGATGGCAAGTTAATACGAATAGGTTTTTGCATATTTCTTCCATATTTGTTCAAATGCTTATTTGATCACATTGATTCGATTACTTTATACCATCGACGAATTCTTGACACAAACTTTTTGGTAATTGGATCAATTTTTTGATTTCCGTTTGATGTGTCGCCTAGAATAACATATTGCTGGATGGAAGCAGGAGATGACAGTCACGTAGATTGTTGAAAGTGGGAGGGAGTGGGCAGTGGCGATCTGCTATAGACAACGAGGAGCAGGAAAGGGTAGGACGAGAGTGTGAGCACAATTCTTATTCATGAGTCGTTCAAAATTGTTTTTTTTTTTGGCAGTCAGCACGCACATCTTATTGAACTAAGCTCATGTTATGGATGGATGAGGTGGAGAGCGATTTAAATCATTTGAATGAATAATAAGAAAAAAGAATAGATTATGTTATGCAGAACGCATCTGGAATGCATCTAACATCTGCGGTGATGTGATGTGAAGTCTGTGGTGTTTGTATGTGTGACAAATGGATGTTGGTTATTATCGTGTATGTATTTTATTTTCGATCAACACAAACAAACAATAGCAGTCCTTGGCACCTCATTCACCGGCAGTCGTTCGTTCGTTCTTGTTTGCTGTGAAAAGACTGGCTCATTTTCATTCAGTTGGCAACCGCACTACCTTGTTTTATGCCATTTCCATGAACCAATCCTTTGAATCATACATCCGCAGTATAAATTATACTTTTCCTCTTCGATTTAATTTAAAATGCCGCGAGAACAATAGACCGAATATGTTTTATTCTTAACATCAGTACGTCCCTTTTCAGTTATTGATCATCAACACCGGAGAGATTGGTTCTTTTCGTTGTCATTTTCAGAGTTTTTTAATGCAGGCATTGAATTATTTTAAGATATTTTTGCATTTAATTCTGTTCCACCTGATTTGATGTTCGGAAGTGCTCTCAGATTAGCTTTGTCAGTTGATTGTCATCATGAACCCTACTATCGTTTTTCTTCATTATCACTGCGTACCCTCATTTACAGGCCTAAAGTTTTCTTTTTGTCTGATTTTCCTCCTCATTGTTGGCCTCAGTAATATGAATTCGAAGAAATCGTCTGATTGTGAGGGGCTCTTGCGGTTGTACTGATGTAAGTAATCGAACAATTTGACACATCTGTAATGATTAGTTACTGAGGAGTTGGGAAAGGTTGACGTCAGTTTAATGTGTGCATCTCTGTTGAAAATGCATCTCGTTTCATTTCGTTTGCATCGGTTCTGTTTACGATTCAATTTTTCACTGTATTCATTTAGAGTAATTGAAAACTTGGAATGTTCGTTCATTGAGAAGGTGATTTATTTCCTTTTATATTAGCAAATTGCAAGATCAATGAGATAACGAAAATTGTCTTCGCATCATTCTAGCGGGAGGGACGTTTGATTGTGTCAAGGGAATATGTTCATCAATCATGAAAGCTTATGTTCACATTGCTGGATCTTTCTCGTTTATTAGCTGGAGCTAATGGCTTTGTTCATTTGTTCATCAATTCACTCTTCATAATTCCCTACTGAAAACATTCATATGTTCAGAATTCATCCTTCCATTCATCCAGTGTGTTGCAGGGAGCAGAGGATTTTGAGGACCTTGTATCGGTTCCTTGTCTCCGTCCTCAACTTCCTTCAGAACGACCACTTTCGAGGTCACAGATTTTTTTCCTTCCCGAAAACATGTTATACCTCCATTCATCTTTTCTTGTATGAAGTGTTCTCGTCGAATTTGAGCTGAGTGCATTTAAGTGCTTCTTCCATCTTCACGACTTGGTATTTTGAATGATTGTGAACTATTGTCAGTAAAATCAATAAATGTTCATCACGCTGCTAGCAACTGTAGCGAAAAGTGATGATGTTGATATATTGTTATGGTTCAAGCGGTTCTTAGAGATAACGATCTTAGTCGACATTGATTGTCAGTTGTATAATCTGTAAGAAATGTTGGATTGTTGTAGCGCCATTCGTTGATCTCTTCTGTGATGATATACGTAATCGTTTAAAAATTGAAAATGGTGATGATGTTATTTGCTGTGATGTGTAACATTTCATAGCTCAATATGAGTATCATCATTGTTATTTTGTTTCGTCATTTATTTATTGTTCATTATACATATGTCATGAGAGTAATTTTTTGATAGCATGAAAATACGATTGCATGAATTGCATATTTTTGATACCTCTTCATTCATTCCTCAGCGTTCTCGTAACGGTTTTATTGATTTTTTTCCAATCTGTGAGTCGCAGAAATTTACTAGAGAATTAACTTGCCACTCTCGAAAGTAACCAGTTATCCTCTCGCATGGCGTATTCCGTTATAATTCGTTTTTGTACCTGTTCATTTTCACTTAATCTGTTCGAAATAATTTTTTTTCACTTCATATGTGTGAAATAATTTCAGAGAACTCGAAGCCATCGTTTTCATTTCTCCATTGTTGTGTCTATTTTCGTACTCGCCTTCTGTTTCATTATAACTTCCTTCAAGTGGTTTTGTTGAATTTATTGGTTGTTCTTATTAGTCATCATTATCCATATGTTCATGCATATTCTGACGAAATCACCAATACCAAAATGAATTACGGGCAAGCGGGAATGTGGTGAAAGACATGGGTAGTGAGACGTTTCATAAAGTCGTATCACTATTCTGTTTTTCGCCTCGTTTCTTTGCACAGTCCCCTTCCGTCGCATACATAATCAGCCACAACGTCAAGTAATAATCATGTAAATAACTGAACAGATATTACGACTTTTAACAGCTCGGCTAATCAGTGGACCCTTCTGTTGAAATCATGCGTTGCTCAAAACGGAATTTCAAAAATGTTTTTACAAAGTCCGCAAGATCTACTGGCCGTTGCACCAAACAGGTGCTGCAGCCCAGATGAACGACGACTTATAAGAAATATTTTGCTGTACTTGTCGTCGTCTATCAATATTTATGATGTACCCACCTGAGTCCTCTTCATCTCGCTATTTTTGCATCCCTGTTCTTTCACTGAATTGATTGAGTACCAGCCAGTAGGCGACGTATCTCACTGGTTGTCAATCCGTCCATCCATTTTCTTGATCATCATCCACCAAGTGGTTCCGCGCTTACACTGGCCCTTTTCCTTACCAAGTGCTCTTCATCCGATTCTGTTACTCTCTGATTCTTCGTTCCTCAATTTCTTAATGTCATCTTCCTCTGTCGGTTGATCGTTCATGATACGATCGCTTGCCACGTTTCATACTAATATTTGCAACACAATAAGTGAAATTGATTACGACGGTTATTATTTTCACGTGAACAGGTATTGTGATTGCGAAGTGTAGTTGCGTTTATTCGTTCCTTAATAATGTGCTTTGGTGAATCAGAAAATTGAGATAGTGGAAGTGGTTTTGCTTTGTTTCACCAATGTTATCGAATGAATTTGTTTCCGACAGATCGAAATCTGTTTGAAACGAAATAGTTTCGAATCAAATGCGAAGAGATTGATTAGTGCTGGAAGAAGCGATTTGCCTGCAAGTTCAGGTTGTAACAACGGTGCAAGGCAGCTCCAGCGCGTCAAAGTGGTAGTGATTTGTTGTGATCGATCTCATATCACAGCCAGCTTTGATGTGCTGTGGTCGTCATTCACTAAGCCCTTCTTTACCTTTACCACCACCCTCTCCCTCCATTTCCCTCCCGTCCCTCGTTTATCCGTCTCACGTTCTTTAATCGCATCATTATTTTCAATTTCTTGTATCACCAATTATTCTCATTTTTCGTCCAATCATGTCTTTATCATCCACTGATTATGTAATCGCATTTCATAACGGTTCTAATAGTTCAGTCGAAAGGACCGATCATATCATGAATTTTTTCAACTGTTAAACTTATGAAATGTTTTTTGTTCAACTGCTCTGTCAGACAAATATCAGTTGCTTGATAGACACGTACGTGAATATGCCTGCAGTCGTCTAAAAAGATTTTATTTGAAACAGATGCTGTCTATCAGAGAAGCCACCTCCGTATTCCAATACGAACCGCCTAACTAGTGTCATTCATTAATTCATCTACGAATTCATTCTTTTTCTTCGTTTTGTTATCAGTCTTTCCATTTTCTCTTCTTTCACTTTGCAAGAGTCAGTACGCAGTTGTCAGCGTTTTAGATTTTCTGTTTAATATTTTCTCTTTGACAGTTTATCTCCAAATATCATCCATCCATCCAGTTGCATTCCGTTTGCATTGTTATGATCCATCAACTACACTGCGATTAAACTGGTAATAAGCGTAACAATTAGAACCAGTCACCAGTAATTGCTACTACTGTTTCACTGATATCTGTTCGAGAAACGAGAAAAATTTTCATTGCATTACCGTTATCTACGTTCTGCAACATCTGTTGTTCTGCCTTATTTGATGTGATTCAATTTTCACTTTTTTCAACACTTGAATTTAGTGAAAAAAATGAAAAAAATTCATTGAAACAAATGTGATAATAACTCTAGTAATCTTGATAGTGATTGATGTGGTGTGATGAATGTTGCTGTTTTTTATTCCTCTTGTTTTGGTTAATCGTTTTTGAAAATATTTTTCAGTTACTATGCAAAATTGTTACCAAACGTGGTGTCGTTTCACGTCAATGGATTTTCGAGACGTTTATTGCTCGATTCAGTTTTTTATTGCAGGATCCAATGTTTCATATCAGAAGGGTAGGTTTTTTTTTTAATTTTTGTTTTACAATTTGATGTTGTTGCTGAAGAAATGATTGCGTTCATTGATCCATGCATCGATCTCTTTGCCTGATTAATATTGTCTTGCTGCGTCTGGCAAATGAACGGAACTATCCATGATCAAATGAATAAAAAGCGAGAAAGTGTGATAAACATGTGTGATAGTAATGATGATGTAATGGCGTTGTTAGATTTTATATGTGCAAATGTTATGTTGAGCAAATGCCATCATATGTAGTTGTAATGATGCTGAAGAAAAAAATTAGCAAAAAAAGGAAAATAAAAATGAAGAGAGCAAATTCAGTGCCAGGTACAGAATGGCACGGCAATACCATGATGATGACGATACTGTTTTCAAAAATATTTTTAATGGCAGCATTTTTGTGTTTTCAAAATTTATATTCATTTCTTTTCTTTGATGCTATAGTCATGGTTGCGGTTGATGTTGTTGTGTAACGATTTAATCATTCACTAGGTTCATACATTATCAATCGCAATAGGAGTGATTTTTTGGATGTGGTTAGCGAAGCGGCATCCACATATCCGACATATAGGTATTTTGTACCACAAAAGTATCGAAAAGAAGACTGTCTAGTAAGCGAAGAAGATACATAAGGCAGACGTTAAGATGTGTGTAGGGATTTTTAAGTGAGTGAAATTTGAGAGTTTTGAGATGGATTCGTGCAAATAAGAGGGAATACACTGATTACCTTTTTGACGTCAAGTACAGATGAACTTAGTCAAGATGGGTGGTCCATGGTGAATAAATAGTTTATTATTGTGCACAGAAGGAGACTGGTGAGAATCCCGCTACAGTTTCCGCGAAAGTAACCATCAAGAGCGAGTTTATTAAGGTTGGCACTGGAAATCAAATCCACCTCTGAGAATTGGCTTGAAATTGCATGAATTGCAATAACGAATATATTCACGGGATTGCTTGATTGTTTCACTTCTATACTGTGTAAAGAATTATTGATGGTTCGCGCATGAATGACTTCAATTTGCAGGTTTGTGTATCAATGCTTGGCGATTTAGCAACCCTGTTTGGGCAGCACTTCGCCGAACAAGTTAGTCGGCGGGATTTCGTCATTCTCATCACATAAATGTTTTTTGTTGTGTTTATCGTTTACATTAGAAACACTGTACTGTAGGCGACAGTTCTTCCAGTTGTTCTCGCTGATACTTTCTGTCATCGTTTTCCTTATGAAATGAGAATTCTTCATCAAATGATTCATTTCATGTTTCTTTCTGTTTCTCAAAGGACGACAATATGAGAGTGAATCCATATTGAAAGGCGATTGATTTCTCATTTGTTTTGTTCGAAAATGAAATTGATCATAGTCATGTTTCATTTGTAGAGGTGAGATTGTCTCCTAGTGTGCAACCTCCTATGAATAGTTGTGTATTTCAGTTTGTGGTTCCCTTTCTAATAACACTTAGCCAAGATCCGGTCTGGGGTGTTCGGAAAGCGTGTTGTGAAGTATTCGTTGAAGTTGCCGCAGCATGCTCACCACGTTTCAAAGAAACACAGCTAGCACCTCGTTTCATCAAGCTTCTTAGTGACAGTTCTCGATGGGTAAGTCATCGTGTCATTAGTTCGAGTTGTTTTTTTATTACTCGGTTACCGATATGTATGTACCGGATTTTTTGCTTCCGCAACATACTGCCTCAAGGCATCGCCAAGCTAAACTTGATTTGACTGCTAGCATTGATTACAGGTTTGTTGCGCTGCATTTGAGCAGCTTGGACCATTCATTGCAACCTTCGCAGATTCAGCACGCACTGGATTGGAGATACGTGATGGTCGATTGGCATATACTGCTGAATGTTTGTTTTAATTTTGTGGTTGATATCGCTCTCATGACCTCTGTTATTCATTTCTGTTACATTTTCATTCGGTTCGCTTTCTTGACAATTATTTACCGTTTTTGCGCGAAGTGTGAGTGTACCAGTTGAGAAATTTGTTCTTTTCGTTTGAAGTCAGATAAGGAAGACGTTGATTTTAGCATCATCGTCTTGCTCATCGCTGCATCATCTACCAACTTCATTCTCATCGCAAGACATTGGTTCGCCTTCATCTACAAATGATGGAACTAGTGCACCGACAGCAAAAACCAGACTTTTCTACGATGATCATAATGGCGCACATAATTCATCGGAAGCATCAACTTGCAATGTCATAATCGACAGTGACGACAACAGTAACGATAATGCACCGGCTGCATCTTCAGTTCATAATAATACAACATCTGATAATGATACTGAGGATGAATATCAGTTCTACAAACTGCCCAAAGATGTTTGTTTACCGGTTTCCAAGGAAGACTTTAATTATGAGGTTGATGAAATTGATGAGGTTGGCCGTCAATGTGAACAACCACATCAGTCGTCACAGATCCTGTCTGGCGATGAACAGTATGTGTGATTTTATTTTATTTTTCATTTTTGTGTGTGATGAAATAAAGTAAATGAATGAACCATACGATTCGAGTGCTGCAGTAAATAGTTGAGCGTGAATGAATATGTGAATAGTTATAAAGATGACGAAAGAAAAACAATAACAGTGGTTGTATTATCGAACGTTCAACGACTGCTTGACTGTTTCAGCGAGAAATTGTAACTGATACAGTGGTACGATAATATTGATGGGTATTGAATATTTCAGTTTGCTAAAAGAATTTTATGGACTGTTGGATAGTTGGACGTTAGATCAAAAAGGCGATGTACGAGGAGGAGCGATGTCCTCGTCAATGATGTAAGTCAATTAGATGGATAGATATATTAATCATTAGTGATTTGTTTTCGACTGGTATTTGTGTGGTAATTTATTTTTTGTTTTCTTCGGGTTTAATTTTGCTCAAATCTGTTCATAATCACTTGATTGTCACTGATGTTTGTGTTATTATTACTGCTTCGTTGAATGTGAGTGGTTGATTGATTAAGTGGCGCGTTAAGTGCGGCAGCAGCTTGTTCGACCGAGGACGATCTTTCAAAGTTGGAATTTGGGGAGGACGCAGATGATGATGAAGCATATTTATATGATGATAAAGAAGGAAACAACAATGTGGAGGTGCTGGGGGAGAATGGTTTCAATCATCATGACAGTAGCAGTGATTCTACAGAGGTAACTCGTTCATTTGTGGAGGATACTTTGAGTAATTTTCATTTAACAATGCAATTAGGTAGTGAACTTCGCGAAGATTTCATGATGAAAATGAATGGACTATTTTGCTGACAAAAAAGTAGAATAATGCAGTAATGGGTTGTTGTTTATCATCATTCATGGAACTGTTTAGTTATTAAAAATTTTAGTGGTATCTTTGTTAGGAATGGATATTATTAGAATGTGTTTTCCTTAATATATTTGTTGGTAATTTTAAAGGCTTATGGTGGTGTTGAATCGGTCGCAACAACTGCAGATGACGACTTCAGTGAATTGAAATATTGGTCAAGTAATTTTGTGAACATCGATTTGCGGTCGTATGGTCATAAGTCGAACTCAAAAAGTGTAGAAGCCACAAACTTATCGAACGCCTACATGGAACGTCGAATGAATATGTTCGTTGATGATGCTGTTGTTGGCGACTCCATTCAAATGAAGGCAGCCACTCCTAATAATTGTCAACAGGTAGTCGACCGACTTTGCTAGTTGACTGTATGATTGATTGCTAGCTTCATCAAGACAATTGAGACACATAGCCAGCCGTTTAAACGATAGCAGATTCATACAACGGATGTTTTAAATTGAGTAGAAGTGTAGTTAATTCGAAATGGTATGAATGTAGGTTTTATCATTTAAAGGAACAAAATCGAGTTGAAGGACAGTGGAGTATGTCGAATGAAATGAATGGGAAAAACGAGAGGGCAAATTTGTGTACGTCGATTGCAAGCGGTAACAATAAGTCATTATCGACTACTAAGAGTAGAGCGATTCCGCTTCCGAGTAATGAGGATGGATATGCATGTGTCGAATTCGATGGTAGTGTGATGAAAGAAGTGAAGCGCCACTCTCGTGCTGAATGGTCGTCAGCAAGCGCGGCAACAGTGACGCGATTAACAGCCGCAATTAGCTCAGCATCTTCGACTGGTTACAACAGCGAGAATAGTGCACCGATTTATATGCATGCGCATTGCAACTCTAATCAGAATGATAACTGTAATGGGCTATCGAAATCTCCTGTCGTTAATGGTGAATACAATATCGCTAGTAATGGTGATGTTGCCGCAGTAGATTCTACTTCGTCCACTCCAAATGAGCATTCAGAAGTTTGTATAATCATTGAGATATTATTATTATTATTATTATCACTGTTATTAAACAGTCCTCTGCTAGATTTACTCGCATGTCCTGAATCAAAAAGTTGATATCAATAATAACGGATGATGGTGAATATTTCAGCAAATTGTTCCAAAAGAGTTGCTGGACAGTTACGTGAATCGAATATCAGGATGTGCTAACAATGAACCAGATATAAATCGTCACTGTGCGCATAATTTTCCAGCTGTCGCGTTCACGTTGGGACGTCGCAATTGGCCTCAATTACTGGAAACCTACAATCTTTTGGCTGCTGATTTACAGGTGGAGGAAAATGAATTTTGCGTTTTTGAATTATCGGTATAAGTGATACTGATCGCCTTGAGAAAAATCCACTGTGACCGAAGTTCATCTCTAGCTTTGCTCTTACCTGTGGCTAATTTGTGAATCATCGCGTGAAAAGGTGTTCGTTATTCCTGCATCACCAGATAAACTAATCGGTAACGAAAGTGAAACTTACTTTGCGATCGTCATGCTTGGAATGAATATCTAGGTATTAGGAACTTGTAATGTAACTGAAGTGCATATGAAGAGTATTAATTTGAATATGTGATGTACGTTTGATGCAAAATGAAGAACTGATAAATTATTTCAGTGGCGTGTGCGCCAGTCTTTAGCATCATCAATGCATGAAGTTGCCGCAATAATTGGCGAAGAGAACGCAGATGCTCATTTGGTACCTGTTTTTGAGCAATTTATGAAGGATGTTGAGGATGTGCGATTGGGCTTGCTGAAACACCTCTATGACTTTTTTAAAGTTAGTGCTACCCATTCATTTATTTCCGATTTTGTTGCGTTGATTCTTTGCAAGTGGGTAGATAGTTTAATTATATAGACTTGGAATGTTTGAAAGAACAGATCAGCAGAAGAGGAAACACGAAGCTTTTGTCGCGAGAATGGTGGATGAGATAATTGAATTTTGGTATATACTGTATTTTAGCTGGTAACACCTGCAACAAGGAAGAAGTTGTTGACTGTTCTGGCGAGTTTTTTGCATTCGGATCGTGAGAATGAACGTAATTGGCGCTCGAGGCATGAATATACGAGGTTGATTACATATTCAGTTGATGGAGTGTGTTTTCTGAACGAATTGATTACTACGAATGTGATTTTTAAGTTTAATCACAGTTACGCCCAATTTGAAAAGACTGAATGTTGCTGTGGTTTTTTGTAAGAGAGCTAAAAAATTTTTTTCGGCTCTCAAGATTGTTTATTTATCAGTATGCAGCTTTCAGGTATTACTTTCGGTTCGAGAATTATCAGCGTTATATTTGTTGTTAATATTTGATAATTTATGAAATATTTACTGCTGGTCAAATTCTGGTTCTGTAATAAATGTTACGAAAATAATGAAACGACATTTACACTTAGTATTGTGATCATTAACGGGCAGTATTCAGGCAGTGCGCTTTGTTGTGCGATCTGTATGATGTGGAGGATGTGAACGAGTACATTGCTGCGATTGCATTGACGCTAGCAACTGGTGAGTGAGAAGCAGCTAAATTTTCTGTCATTTGATACGATGTGTTCAGTAGGTGAATTGAGTAGACTGTAGTAACCATTTAAGCAAATTGGCGCATACAGTCTCTGCTTTTCTTTTCTTGTTCTATTTGTACTGTTCAAACTTTTTATTTGTTATATTTTTTCGCTTATTTATATTCATGTTTGACTCACAACTTTTAATCGCACTGTTCGGCTCAAAAACTCAGCTCCAAGCTTAATTATCTTATTCAATTCATTTGTGATGTGTTCAGTAGATTTGGAACTGCTTATGTAGGATTTTCCTGCCAAATTTGCTCAAATAACATCTCAGATCCTCAAAGCGTGTTACTAGTGATCGAAAAAAAAACGTTGAGCCATTTTGATGAATTGATGCTAGTTTACCTTTTGTAGTTGCGTAGTGAGTGTTTGCAGCGCATACTGAACGCTCTTTCACTTTGTATCGTTTGGCATAGCACCGTCTGCTCGTCATTGTTTCTTGTTGGAAATTTGTTTGCTTAGCATGGGTTTGATAGAGGTATCATCATCCGTCATCTGAGCTTATCATTTTTTTAAACTCATCACACTGTGTTCAGATCGTGTAGCAGATGTGCGTAGTGAAGCAGCGTTTTTGCTGGCAAAGGTTTTGGCCAAATTTGTAAAGCACGAGTGGAATGACGATGCAAATTTAACATCATCAGCCAATATTGAAGCATCAAGAATTCCCGTAACTGCATCGTTCGTTAATGATATCATTAAAGGATTCGCATATTCAAAAAGTTGGCGTCGCAGACAAACGTTAGTCCGTTTGTTGTCACTTACTTGCTGCTGTTATTATGTTGTTTTTTCTTTGTTTTGATGGATGAGTGGATCGGTAGCAGGATGAACTTGTTATAGGCAGATAACAGGATGAACCAAATAAGTAAAATTTGAATGTTCTAGTGAGTATACGTATACGTGCGGCTTTTGAACGACCACTTCTAATATTTTTATTCGTTTGTTCGTTTGTAAAGTTTTACGAACAAAGCATGGACTCAGCACGAGATTTTATAAAAATTGTTTTTAGTTTTGCAATATTCTGCGAAAAAACCCTTGAATTGGGTCAGTTGAATTACGAGCAGTTCAGACTTTTGCTTCTCCGAGATCTTCTTCGTCTCGGAAATGATGGTTCGTTTTTTTGGGTCATTTGTTCGTTCTCATTGGATTTTGCCTGCTTTCCATTTTCTTCTGTTTCTTTCTTCCATTCAATGTATTTTATTTGATGCAGTTATAACTGAGTTAGAAGTGTAAGAAACAACTTTTGAGATAAACCTCCGGTTGCTGAGCAATTATATTGTTCGACGCTGGTGTGTATGTAGACATGTGCATTTCATTCATTTATTCATTGCAATTTGGTGTTTGTTAGAACTTCCACCTGAACAGCGTTTTCAGCATGTAGATAGGTAATCGCTTTTAGCAAATAGCGCGTCCATTTACGCAGTATAGATGAGCGGTTGATTGCAGTGGTGCCAAACATTCGACTAGCGTTTGCACGTACTATGTGTCGATGCACAGCCACGGCCACTGAAGCGGCCTCTATCGAAGCTCGTGATGATGTAGTGAAGGTGTTGAAGGAGATGATGAATGATTTTGATGCGGACTGCAGACGTATGGCTCGTAGAGCACTGCTGTTACCTGATTCGGAAAATTTCATACAGGTTTTGTTGTGTTCAATTCGATTTAGACGTTTTTATATTTGCTTACGAATTTGCATACACATTTTCGTTGTTTCGTATGAATGACATCAATAAAGTAGATTTTTGATAGTTATCATCAAAATGCAGGTGAAAGGTCGTGAAATCATCGATTCGTCAGCTGGACCAGTAACACAAGCAACTCTGATTATTGACGACAATGCGATGACGATGAATGATAAATTTGTTATCGAACAATTAGAGGGTGCTCAGGGAAGGGCTGCAGTTGGATGTGAATGTGGCAGTGAATCTAACTCACAATTGATGCAACATCAGCCAGCGTCAATATATATATTAGAAGATGAAACAGTCAATAATAGTTCTTCTCCTTAATGAAAAATGATTGTGAAAGGGAATAAATGTTCGTTTACCTATTTGTATGAATGGTTTGAATCCTTTCAACTTTTGTTATTTGCTTCTGTTTTCCTCTTTTAAAGATCCTCAGATGTCAATGAATGACCGCTCAATCATCATGCAATATACCTGTCTGTATCTTTTTAACGTTTTTCTCTGTCATTTATTTCGTCATGAGTTCAGCGATTAAATTGTCGTATTCTTCAAATAATATTTCAATGATTATTGTTTCCATTAATTGCTGTTTTTTTCGATTTAATATGTATGTGATGCTCAGATAATCGTCTTCACTGCCGTTCCTCTTTGCTTCATATTTCATTTATTTTAATTTTGCTGCTGTTATGTGTAGATGGCGATAGACTTTCGAGTGGAATCTTCATTATTTTCTATTATCATCGTAATCGTATTTATGGACATGAGTAATTAATTTTTTTTGAACGAAATCGCTTTCGTCGTCCGTTATCACCCACGAAATTTTCTTTGTTCTCTTTTTTTTTACGTATGTGAAAATCATAAGCTGAATAACATCAAGTTCATACTTTTTTATGAATACTTGAATATGACAGTAATAATCCATAATCGTTGTTGTCATGTATAGGCATCTGTTTAAGATTACTTAATTGAAAAGCGATATGAGGTATTTTGCGTAGTTATTGATTCGTTTCTTTTTTGTTTTCATTTCTGTTGTTCAAGACCTGAGATGTCTTTCGATGAATTCGATTATCATCTCAATCATTTATTTCACAATTTTATCAATAATGTAAGTTGTATGCTCATGTTATATGAAAGAATGGATGTGGTTATCGTTGGAACTATATTTGAAATTCATTTGTGATTTCATCATATCAGTGTCTCATGTGCATTACTGATTATCAGTGAGGAGTGTTTTCGTCTCAACAGACCTAACAACTGCAGTTGTATAAGGGTTCATTTTTGAGTTTCTTTCTCCTTTAAGCATTTGTATGTTTTATTGATGGATGGGATGACTGATGTCGTTGAAGATGTTGAAGTAATATTGGTTATTCGTTTGGTTGAGTTTGATTAGATTTGACTTACAATTAGATTGTTTTTGTGTATGTATTAGGTTTAATTTTTGTAACAAGTGTGCATTTTGAACATTCAGTTTTCTCATTATTCTCTTTTAAAATGAATGACTGGGGGATAAAAGGAGAGTGGGGAAAGGTGTGCTTAAGCTTTGATATATTTCCTGATTTCAATCGGCGTGTCAACTTAGTTTGGAAGCATATGCAGTGATGTTCGTTTATTCAGAGCTATATGAAATGATTACAGTAATATGCTGCCGCTGGGGATTTACCCATTTTATTTTCTTACTCGTTCTCTGTGCTGAAACACATGTCTTGAAACGACACTGTTAGATCATTCATCATTAAATAATGAAGATAGTTAAACTTATTTGTTGTGCTATTGAAATTTGTTGTTTTTCGTGATTTTGCTTGAAATCGACAGATTCCACGTTATCATATCACAGTGCAGTTATTCATTCATTTTCATCCTCACTCGCTCATCCCTCATTGTAAACTACTTCGAATTTGTTTTGTCTCCACTACCTTTTCCAACAAGCAGTTGAGTTACTGTGAAGCGTTCTTTTTTGTTCATATTTCTTCTCGTTCTTCGTCGACAATATGCGGGCGGGTTCCGCAAGTAGTTCTGTTTGGTTTTTAAGATTTTTATTTCATTTCTGTTTTGCTGGTTCGTTTTGCTTTCTATCCACATGTCGTCATTTCTTAGTGTAGCATACGCGTATTTGCGTGTACATTGAACCTTCCCTCATCATTTCATCGTTCCTCTTATTAATTTATCAGTTATTGTTACCATTATTTTCATTTCACTATTATTGTGGAAAAGGAGATACGTGTCATAAAAGTAAATTCAGTTCTTGGTTCTGCATTGGTCCACTTATTGATGTTGATGGATGATCGGACCTAATTAATATTCAGCAAGCATAATTTTACTTTCATTCCATGCCTGAAGGCAACTGTGCAGTTGTTGGTCTTATCGCATCACTCAGCCAGATAATTGATAATACAGTAAACACATTGAGTGACACTGCAAATTATACGTTCGAATTTATATATGCTAAATTTTGCAAACTCATTGCGAGTCGTATCGTTTGTATATTGGGTTTTGTGAAAGGAGAGTTTGATGCCCTCGAAAACTGTATTATGTGAAATTGTTGGTGAACTGCAATATTCGTTCGACCAATAGCGTGGTGAGTTAGTATGCTGCAGCATCAACTAAGCATTCGGTGGTAAGGGTTCCAAGGAAGCCCAGTTAAAAAACAGACGTTAACAAAACGGTGGATCAGACGTTAACAGTCAGGTGTGACCGGACAATCTGCCTAAAGACGTTTTGCCTAAGGGCAGTTTGCCTAAAGACACATTTCCTAACGGACAGTTTTTTAATGGATATTTTGCCTAATAGGTAAGTTTTTCCTGGGCAAACTGTCAGTTAGGCGAACTGTCCGTTAGGCAATGTGTCCTTAGACAAACTATCCTTAAGCAAAGTGTCTTTAGTCAGATTGTCCGGTATAAACGAAGAGATTGGTGACGTCAGCTTTTGGAGTTTTTATGTCGTCAATTGTGTTCGTACTGCATCACAACTGTTCGCTCATAATGAATATCCTGTAAGTCACTACGTGGAAACATTTTCTCGGAACACTGATTATTTGTAACGTATGCGGGAGAAATGTCTGGTCGTTGAGGATTAGTGAATATTCGTTTAATTTTCAAGCAGATCAAAAACTCATCATGTATAACATCAGCCAACAACAACAAAAGCTTTGTTTGGTTGTGCGTTATCCATAAAATTATTGATAGCATGGATAATGCACATCGTGACATAACAGTGAGTTAGCTTGCTTTTTTACAAACTTCGTTATTTTGAAAGAGATTTGGGTACGGAAGTGTGGACAGTCAGTCTTTCAATGATCGGCATAAGGCGCCGACCAGTTTTTTTTTTACAAACTTTCGTGATCGAAATCTTGCATGATTTATAGTATTTACATTATCGATTGTTTTTTGGTTGATCGATTCGACTGGATAATCAGTCGTTAATTGCTTCTCAACCGTGATAATCGTCACATGATGCGTGATCAGTTACGAACATACCTGAAATTTTGTCTTAGTGAATTGTGTAGTAAGTGAATGAGGCTTATGAATAGTCGATGAATGAATGAGCTGTTTCCTCACTTGGCTGTCCAGTCAATTCGTCCTGTTGAGGCTTTTGTTTGAGCGTTATTCGGTAAATGTTTCGCACCAAATGATGGCACGTAACCTAAAATTGTTCATTTCTGTTCACTTATCATCCGTCTTTCATTAAATCATCGGTTTGTTTGATTGTTGCTTACTTACTTAATACTTTGTTTACTCGAGCACTGTTTTTACTTCTTTGCTCGTTGACATTACAATAAGGCATCAGTTACAACAAGATCGACTGGATGCCGTAAATTGCCTTATGAAATGGAATATTTGAAGTGATTCTCGAAATTTCCAAAACTTTCAGTTCCAAACTATTTATCGCCATCTTCTTTCCACCGGATATTTAAGTGTATCTGAGTCGAAGTTATCAACTGAAGTTAATGAAAAGAGATCTACGAAGAAAAGAACTCACCGTATGCATATTCAAATCTAGCTTGTACAGCTGACCGTTGTACGTTGTTGGTTGTCGAATGTTTTGCAGACGCCATATTACTATTCGAATTATGATTATTGCCACTTATAATGTTATTGGTAGTTGATTTGTCGGTTGTTGAATTGACAATTCCTCGAAATAAATCATTAGTCGCACGTTTTTGAAATGATTTATTGATTTTGTACTCCAATAACTGTGATTCATTTTTTCTATTTCAAGCAAGAAAACTAATCGTTCATTGGGAATTATGAAAAAAAAATTGTTTCCATTTATTCTTCACGCAATTTTGAACTGTCGATTATTTTCTTATCAGTAACGCTATTTTCCATTGTTTTGTAAAATTAGATTCGAAGTCGCATTGCATCGATCCTACTTGCAGCAAACTCACCAGGAACATAACGTGACTTTGCCAAATAAAGCTCTTTAGCAGCCGGTTTCGTCCTTATCACAACATTTCCACCAATGTTTCGATTGCTTTTCTCCATCATTGGATTCTTCTTCGACGTCTCTTCGAGAAGTCTGAATTGATCGAACGCTTTTCTTCAATGTTGAACATTATCGTTGAACTCCTTCAGGTAGTCAGTCATCTTTGGAATGTAGCACCAAGTAAATATATTTAATAGTTATTGAAACTTTATCTTAATACATTACATTAATGCTACTAATCGGCAGTTAACTCGCGCATCTGTTAAATGGCCAATAATAGATTTGATTTGATTGAGAAGCTGCTTGCAGAAAAGCTGGCAATTATTGTGAAGAGTGCAGTGAGGTGTACTAGGTTATCAAAACATAATGGACTAGAATAAAAGCGAAGAGCACGAGACAACTTTGTGATTGGTAAATTGCGATTGATCGTTCGTTCGGGTGCATTCTCGTTATTGATAAGCGCATCTGCAGTGTTGGTCTTCAGCTGGGATTTACCCAAAATTAATTTCGAATCGGATAACGTCGAACCGGCGCTACTCTTTCGAACCGATGTTGACGGTTGACTGAGCACTTGCGCACCAAGTTTCTGACCAACTTGGAAATACTTATACTTCAGTGACTGAAAGTAACGTGTTTGTTCGTATTTTTGTTTGCGAATGAATATCTCACAATCTTAAGATTGAATAAAATGAAATTGCAGTAAATAAGGAATCAAGAGTGAAATATCGATAAAGAAAGGTAAATACACTGGCAGCAGATGGTCGTTTTTCAGGATTCCATAACATCATATCACTCATTAATTTAAGACCATCTTGACCAATCGTGCTAACAATACTAGCGAGTGGTGTTGGAACACTTTGTTGAAATTTAAAATTCATTGATGCCGCCAGCTGATATCCCTCAGGCCATTCATCCTTCAAAAGCACATGAAACATGTTTTATTCGATCACTTGGAAATTCGGCACACTTTTATGAGTCGAACAGTTCGCATTACGCGAGAATTATTAGGAGCATTAATCGATGAATGAATTAATCATTAATAATTGCAACTGTTATTTACTGAATCTATAGTAATGGCAGCATAGCGTCTTCCTCATAGATCATGCATTTTGCAGTCGTTTACTGCTACTTACTCTTGCCATCGTTTTGTTTTCTACTTAATGAAGCAGTGCACATATTCATCATCGAATGCATCACTCTCAATTGATTTATTAACCACTTAATAGCGATTCAGCAACAAACCTTGTTCGGTGTGCCAAGTATCGTAACAATTTTGAAGATTTGGTCTAGTTCAGACGTGCCAGGAAATAGCGGTCGAAGCATGTACAATTCAGCCATAATACAGCCCAATGCCCAAATATCAATCGGGGAATTGTACGCTGTCGATCTCAAAAGAATTTCTGGTGCGCGATACCTGAAGCATATACCAAGTGGATGGAAAAGTAATTTTTAGCTTATATTTATTTGCATACACGAATGTTAATAAACTCATTCACACCAGTAATGCTGATGACAGTGATGTTCATCACATTAATTGTGACTCTACCAATAAAAATGTACAAATTATCGTTCTCTATTGTTATTTTTATTATTTTCATTATAAAATAATAATAATAGCAGTAATAAATTGATAGTAATTAACAATAATAATAATAATAATAAATCTAAAAACAATAATAGTGATAAATCAAACTGAAAATGTTGCGTGCTGTGGGGATCGGTCGAATATTTGTTAAGTTTTGTGATTAAATAAACTTGACCTACCAGCGCGTAGACACATAGTCTGTAAATGGTGGTCGTGAACGGATTTCCCTTGCTAGTCCGAAATCGGCAATCTTTACCAATTCAGTGCCATTACACATAATGTTTTCCGGTTTCATATCACGATGAAAAAAACCTCAAAGTAGGATTGCATATACACATATAAATGTCCATGCGTCTAAGCTCATGTAGTTTATAGTCGCGTGCGTACACATAGATGACCTTCCGAATGTGAGACAACCGAAATGACGAATGTTTGAAATGAATTTTTGAAACGATCATATAACGAACCATTTTTATGCATATAAGCTAAGCCTTGTAAAACTTGATAAATGATATTGCGTACGACGTGTTCAGGGAAATAGCGATCCCTGTAAATGAATATCGTCGATACGATTTCAAGCTGTTTCGTACATAAAGCATTGATCGCTTCGGTTGCATCCATTTACAAGCTATGTGAACAAAATAAAAGATCAATGATGTTGATATTTTTTGTTATGATTTTATAGTCTCCGCTAAATTTGTCGTCACTTTCAACGATTATTGTTACCGTTTATACATTGATTATTATTCTGATTATATGTTATTACTAACGCTCAATGCATATTTCAAACAATATTTCCATAACCCACCTATCTTTCATTAGTTCATAGAGATTTTCTTGCATATACTCAAAAACAAAATACAAATTATCGTTCTCTCGTATCACTTCCCTCAGTTTGATTATGTTCGGATGATTCAGTTTCTTTAATGATTTTACTTCACGTAATGCCATCGCTTCATCCCATGAATAAAATTTTTTCTTCATCCTGAACTTGAATATGATTTCATTTGGAGACATTTTAATTATTGAGATTTTTATCATTGATAACTTGAACATTTTATTTGATATTATTATATTAATATTAATTTTATTAAAATAATATTGATGATACTATAAATTTTATTATTATTCATATCAATAATACTACTAAAAATATTATCAATAATGATATTAATAATATTATTAATTATTATTATTAATACTATTTAATATTAACGTTATTATAAATATTAATATTATTTTTAATACTAATAACGTATTGCGTTGTTATTATTATAATTATTATTACTGTTATTGTTGTTATTATGATGTTATTATTATTATTATTATTATTATTATTATTACCGTTATCATTATTATTGTTATTATTATTGAATTATTATTATTAATGTTATTATTATTATTATTTTTATTAAATTGTTCAAACTGTCGGCAATATTATTGGTACCGTTATGATGAATCTGTAGTATCATTGATAGCATTGTGACGATAACTGGTATAATCTTTTAATCTCGTTCAAGACTTTCAAGAGAGATGCTTCATAGGTGAGTGAATATAAACATTCAGTTCGAAAATAACCTTTTGATTGCAACTTTATCACCCGTATCGAGTTTTTTGGCAAGAAGTACCTCTCCAAAAGTACCATCGCCCAAGCGTTTCGTCATATTGTAGCGATCGGCTAGCGTTTGGCCTGCCGAAGATATCATTCAGAATGATAGCAACGATTCACGTTCTGATTAATAAAGGCAGCAGAGCTATATGATGAGGAAAAGATACAGGTTGTTTTGTGGGATTATGAGATGGTTTAAGAAATGGTTGGATGTGTATTCGTTTATAGTGGGAATTTGGATGTTACGTCACTTTATATGTAGATATTGTGGTGATACTCTGAGAAATAGGGTTATTCACAGAGTGCTTGATGAAAACAAGTAATGGACTGCGATCAGGTTGTAAAAATGGGAGGATTGCAGCCAGATTTATGAAAGTTTGATATGCAAGAAGTGATTTTTTTCGTTGTTGGGGGATAATGACAATGATATCAGTGATAAAGGGAATTAACAATGTGAGGATTGGGAGTTCGAGTGAGGATCTAACGATGAGAATAGTCGGATGAATAGCGATGCAAACAGCAGTAAATCACTTGATGAAGAACTTATCGAATTGTGTCGTTTGATGTTGTTGAGAATATTAAGATGTTACAACATATCCGTGCAGGGTGCAATCATTTTTTACAGTTTATCTCACGCCATGTCCATGCGTAAGATACCAATTACGGTATCGAAGTGTGTTAAATAAAATCACACTACATTAACGACAACACAACTATGAAGGGTTAGTATGCATCAGCCAGTGGATTAGGTGAATGTTCAAGAGTTGAGGATGGAGGATGAAACAGCGACGAACTGTTCGCTTGTGCTTTCACTATGCAGCATCACATTCAGCAGTCTTTGTATCCAACGACATCATTATTTGATTCGTTCATGTATAAATAGATATTACAGATGATGAATATGTGTATATGTGCCTATATGAGTGGATTTACGCGCTGCTTGAATGTGAATGTATATGGATGGATCTTAGCTGCATATCATTTTGAGCATTTAGCATATACTATGTCCACATTCACATTAACGAAGCAAGTAGTGTATAGAGACCGAGACACTTTTGGTTTTCGTTCCACGATGACAAACGAAAAATACTTTATGAAGAATATAAACGATCGCTCTCGAATTATTACCATGACGACCACCATTGGACACATCAAGTGCATGCTCTACCAACTAGATTTGTATCCATTCGTAGGCTTGAATACATGAATTGACAGCAGAATGTATCAGCTAACTTCACTTATTCAGTCGGTTGTGCGCTTGAAACTGATTCAGAGAGATGTCATTATCGCAATTTGCTTCTTTGAAACTAGCTTCCGAACGGAATGGAATAGTCTTGAAACTATGATGATACAATAAAGTGACACTGTTGCAAAATGCAATACGACTCATAGTCAGATATAATCAATTACTTTCTTGCTTCTTTTATGATTCGGTTGTTTGAAAAGTTCCATGTGAAAATTTCAATATCATACCTAATTACATTCATACTTCACGGGTGTATTCATACAATGACAGAACATATCAATAGTTGGTGACTGACTGAAATTTAAATGAAGAAATAAGAAGAAAAAGAAGAACACACTGGAAGTATGTGATATTATGGCTATGATAAATGACTGATTATTATATTACATTTTCAAACAAACGCCATTCAATGAATTTCGATCAGAACTGTTGACATCTTCATCATGATGTTGCTCTTTGCATAATGTGTACAAAGATGTACATCATTATGAATTT